TAAAGTTTTTTTTCAATTTTTATATCAAAATAACAAAGTTGTCCATCGGTATATAAGTAGCAGTGATTATTAAAAGAAAAAACGTGAATAACCTTTGATTCTTGTTTATAGATCATGTATTGCTAACTTAAAGCAATCATGGAAACTTGTTCAAACAAACATACTTTCTCCTTTTGTACCCTAGCTTAAAACATTATAATTTAGCTGTTATGACGACTGTCACTACGGTTCCTTGGCACAACCGTACCCAGTCTCCCTCAATAAACGAACTACCAAAAATTTGTGTGTGTGTTCCAATATGAAACTGCTCTTGTGCTATATATGTCGATGTAAGTACTTTTGAAAACCGCATGTCGTGTTTTGTATTACTCTCGACAATAGTGCAAAATCTAGAGTACCAGAACGTTTTTGGAATACAAATTGCAAGGACCTGAACAAAGCTTTGTGCTGTGCAATAATTTTTAAAACTACTAATTCACCAAAATACTTTGCATCATTTAGTTCTCTCAAAATTTATTAATACTCGTACAATATAAGGTGTGTCGATTTTAAGGTCACTTAGGCGCATATGATATTTGGATACTAGGGATTAAAATAAAAAACTTTGCTGAAGAAACCATACCTCTGAAATAAATTCTGATGTCCCGTGCATTGACCCAAAGATATATTAGGTTTATTGGGCCTCTATAAATGGGTGTGAATAGAATTTTTCAAATTTTAACACTTATTTTTGGGTCAATTTGTCACGGGACATCAAAATTCATTTTAAAAGTATGGTTTCTTTGGTAAAAAATCTTATTTTGATCCTTAGTATCCGGAAAACATATGTGCCTGAACGACTTTATTTGACTCATATAAATCGACCTGCTCTAATTTACATATAGTACACATGTGTTTTGTCAATGATAGGAATGGAAAGTAACATTTTTACCTAAATTATCTTCAAAAACCAAACTCGTATGTTTTGCCATGTTATGATTCAGTAGATGCATTTTAATATATTTTCTATATAATGTGTTTTTCATTAGTACGATGTAACATGTAGATAGACATGGAATTCCTGTGTGCAAGATTTATATCAACCGATAGATAAATAGTGATATCACATTTTGATAAATGGTGATATTTTAGTTCATTGCATGTAAACTTTATATATGATATAGAAACTATATTTGTTTTCTAATAATATTTTATTTTATTGGCATACAATCTTCAAGTAATTAGAGTAATTTTCTATAACAATACCTTTAACTATTTTAGTTCGTGAATGTATACCTACATCATTAAAGTAATAGTCTCATTCCGACCAATTTAACTCCAGACTCAGAACAAAAAGTACAATATACTCATATTGTTTCATTATTCTATCAATATAAAGTAAACTCTTTTCGAAAGATTTGTGCCAAAAACGTATATAAGAAACAAAAAAAGTCTCATGTAATATCATAAAGTCGTTTACTTTATATGAAAATAAAAAGGGTGAATTTCGTCTGAAAGCTCTCTTTATATTATTGCGTTAGACTCTGGGATTTTGTTCGCGAAGTTCAGCCGATTGCCGATGGCTGTTGTAACACGATTTACATACATGAGACTCTTCTTCCCCGCGAGGATTTTTATTTCGGTGCGTATGTGTGCGCGGACGTCTGAGTCCTTTGTCGAAATATGAGCAAGCAAATTATAAACTTTTATAAAGAACTTATTTCTTCGACAGTAGATAAGTGTGGGTGTATGGATTTTCAGTTGGTAGACGATATTTTTCTGAAGTTTTGCCATCGCAGAATTTTATGTACTTTTATATAGAAAGCGAAGTCTCACATTTGGCATTTCAAATGTAAGTATAGGGTAGAGAGGAGCTTGAAGGTTCGAGGGTAATCAGATCCACCACTATTATCTCAAAACCAATTACAAAGTATAGAATTTTTTAACGATACTGTTCTTAAGTAGAAGGCAAAAGATGTGTAATGAGTCATCAGCTTAATTCTTTCAATTTTGCCATCAAGAGATAACTGACCATATATGATCATTTATAACAGAAGTACATCGTATAGTCGGTAGTTTTTCTTGGTTTTGAGCTTTTATATTTAGTATATTATCGCTGAATGAAATTTTTAGGTACATATATTGTGATTTAAATGTTTTATGAAATTAACTGTTATTTTCAAGTTACATTCCTAAGTTTTTTTATATAATTGTTATAAAAGCTTACATGTGGGTGCAGTATAAAAGGACCAACTAAACCTTTACACTGGCAAAGGTATGAATAATGAGAAAATAGTAAATACAAGAGTAGATTCATGTAAAAAAACAATTAAACAATTAAACAAACAATAGTTTTTTCGATCCAAATAGGTTATAAATTAATAATTTTAGTAAGTATGTTTAAATATAAATCTTAACTATGAAGCGCATTATAAGACAATTAAGTTTTCTAGAAAATTATGAGTTTATTCCTGAAAAATCTGAAAATACACAGAAATGAAAATAATCTTATCAACATTATAATTTAACCAAAACTCGTAATCATTTCATAAAATAAGGCGCTTTAGTATAATATCATACAACCTCCGTTGTAACGTGATTGCGCGTCATTATGAAAATGTTTTGCCCTCAGAGATATCTAATGACTACGGGCGAAACGTATAATATGATAAACTTTTTGATTATATCATTTTATTAAAATTTTTGTAAATTATCATGAAGCAATATGTCCTGTGAATACTAGCAACATACATAAATTATTAAATAAATTGTTTAAACCACTCTTTGTAAGCCGCTAATATGTGGTTCGTTAAGATCATAAACTTCGATGATACTTCTATCAGCTACTTAGTTGCTTGGAAAGCAACCCAATTATTGTCCTAACAAGATGTTTTTATACTAGAAGGCAATATAGATCAATGATTTTTCTGATACTGATGATAAATATTTGGAACTTATTGTAGCAATGCCGGAAATAAAACATATGCACTTTGTTTCATAGTTGTAATTCAAGTTGGCTATCTTTACGGATTTGAACTCGGTACTCAGTGAATACAAACCCAATTATGAACAGCTTTTTATAAAAAATATATATATAAAATTTAGAAAGATATTTTTAATATTTGCAATATTGTTTCCAATCATGCTTTATAGTTATATCCCATCTACCAATATCGTTAGTTTCAAAAAACAAAATTTTCATGGAATCGTTTTTATGACAAATGTGGTGTCTCAGAAACTAGAACAGTGCTCTGTTTAGTTGTCTACTTATTTGATTATATTTTAAATTGTAACTTATTAGTCGTATCGTCACCCATAATAATTTACCAAAATTCTTATCAAGATGATCAAGGAGTTATCACATAATACCTTGCGCCCGTCGTCATTAGATATCTCTGAGCTGAAAACATTGTCATAATGTGGTGCAATCACGTTACAGTCATCTACCTCCTTCTGGTAACCTGATACCGCTCCTTCACTGAGGTTATATCATATTAGCGTAAGTTAGTGCCTCATTTCGCTAGGATTACTCGCTTAAACTAGATTAAACCTTCGGCAAAACACACCCTATAACCGCGCACTTCATCTGCCCGAATCCCTGGAAGTTATCTTCTCAGTTCGTCTTTTCATGTAGAAATACTCCACACTAAAATGAAATAACACGAAGTCGTGGTATTAATTAGCGCACGATTCACCTGGAGTGAATTATTTGAAATCTCTGAGAGGAAAAACGAAATTTGGCAAGGATAGAGGATATACTATTTAGGATATCTATGTACGGGATAATTTTTAAGTTTCACGAGCAAGGTATATTCGATAATATATTTGATGTAAGTTTTATCCTGGTGATAATAATAATTATTAGTGGTGTGCTGCCCAAAAGCAAGTTCTGGTATGAGTGTAAAAGTGCGTACAATATTTGAGATAGGCACGAAGACATATTGTAACTGCCACTTTGCATTTGCTTGCCAAAAAATTTGTTCTTTCAAGTTCACTTACTCGGCAAACAAGTTCCTAAAATGTTGAAATTTGTTCATTTTGAATTATATGAACCAAGATAACCTTAAATTCTACATAATTTAAATATTATCTGCTGTATGTTGTGTCCGTTAAAAATATACTAGGATATTTTTAGTGAAAACATTTGTTCAATTGTATATTTTCATTTATACTATATATGGTTTACCGATGGCTGTATTCCCTAGAAGCTATTAGACGAATTGTTTCGCAAACTTTATCTCATAGTTTAGTCCATCTGTTTGTCAGTTCATCTGCCTCAACTCTGAAACTTTTAAATGAAATAAATAGACAAGACGAGGAACTAAGCATTTCATGTAGAAATACGAAGTAGTTCGTAGATATAATTTGAAACTATTTCAGATATCTATTGATTTCTTGCTAATTTAAATTGGCATTTGTGTTATTGCATTTAATTGTATTTGTCGTAGAAGAATGTTATTTATTTGGCAATGTTCTATCATTGTAAAAATATTATTTTTAATGCATTTATTGATCACATAATTAATGTGTATAACAACAATTGTAATATAAATATGATTCAAGCCATAAAATTATTAAAATTATTAAAAAATACATAATTATTTTTTTAAATTCTGACCTAATTATTGGATTTTTTCAAAATACTGATTAAGTTTAATACTAAAATGAATGTACATACATCACCATCAAAGTCTTTATCATAATTTGAATCAATGATATGTGATATGCAACATAAATTCAATGAGTCTAAAATTTAAAATTCGATATTTCAAAATAATTGCATTGTTACTTGTTACATAAATAAACAATGATCCATACAAATGCAGTTGTTGATTTTATCGCGGCACAAAGTGCAAATTGTCAATATCTTGAGTATAGTATGTCACATCAATTATGTCAATTACAACAATGAAAAATTATTCTATTCGTTATAAATATAATAGGCTAGGGTGGGGATTAAAGATGGCATTTGATATAATCAAAAATTTGGAGTTTTTTCCTCAACAAGCAGTGCAGATATTTCAGTAAACAAATATCTTTTTTAGTTGAGGTCTCAATTCAGGTGGTATAGCATGCGAATCCTGTTCGGGTTTTCCCTTGACAAATCTTTTCCAGCGACCACCGTGGTCCTTGTGGAAACTGCTGCTGCGGCTCAAATTTTTGGATAAGTTATCCTGATTGTTGCTGTTTTGCAAAGGCTGCGGCGGGTTGGGTGGAAAAACCCAAATGGGCTGTTGGCTGAACGCCACTGGCTCAGCAGATGCAACAACTGTCGTAATTGTCTGGGACGCCTCTGGATGAACCGAGTTAGAGTGGTCTTCGCGTTTCCTCAGTTTACTACGAACGACACGAATTGCCATCATTGTACTGTTATTAACTAATAATTATCACTCTATCCAAATATTCTACGACACCCGTTTTCAACGATTTCATAAATTAAATATCACTATTTGTTTTTATACAAAAACACTTTTTATCTTCAAGCACGCACAAGACTGTAATTACCAATGTAATATTTGGCTAGAATAATTTAAATTATTTTATGCCGAAACGTGGTGCCAAACACGTCCATTCGGTTTGAAGAACACGATACAGTGGTCTTCAGTACTCGAGTGCAAAATTTGATATGTGCAAGAGTACAAAGGAAATTGTTCAATGTTTAAACAAAACAAACGCATACTTTATCTACCCACGTATATTAATATTGTATTTAACATCGAATACCTTTGTTACGTATTGTTTTCATAATACGTTCAATTAAACACTAGAGTTATTTCGTGTCCAACGATGGATGTGGGAGTATTCAATATTTAATATTATCAAAATAAATATTTTGAAAGGCTGGATTCCAATATAGCATAAGTCCATGAAGGAAAAACTGGAGTTGGCGTTGGAGTATATACGAATATCTGATGTTTGTAAGTGTTGAGGTTTTTACTGAACAAAATGTTATTTTATATTAAAGATCAACGCATCAGTTATCTATAAAAGAATCTTTTTGCAGAGTACAAGAGTTTGTTCAATGACTTCGATTCAAAATGGATTTATAATATTCAAAATGATCTTCTCGTACTTTTGGAACTTTAAACTTAAGATTCAGAGTGGAATTTATTGGAAACGATGCAAGCATTTTTATGATCTGCATAGATTTCGCATAGATTTCGATTTCGCCTCGAGGAGCCTGATGTCAAGCAGTTGTGACATTTGTTTTCACTTGTAAATATAGCTCGGAATATGTTTCCAAGTAAAAATATCTCTCATCTAGCATTGCTGCATCATAAAAGATTCCACATATTACAGAAATTATTATATTAAATTTTATCACACAGAGATGAGACTACTGTTGTGGTTACCATCTCTTAAACCGACGTAGTAGTGCCAAATTAGTGCAACATTTAGGACTCATAAGTATTGATCTGCGCAATAAAAAAATCTATAAAAAATATGAATTGATTTACTGAAAAAAGTTACGAAATAAGATCCTACTTCTTTCAATTACAAATTTTATGAAAACATTTTGAGATTTGGATTGCAATTGCATTGGGTAGTCGACATATCCTAGTTATAAGATATTGTTTATATACTCAATAGTATTATTTTTAACTTCATATTGTATGCAGCAATTCTCACAAAAACGATTTTTACTTGAGATTAAATTTCAAATCTATGAGCCCAAGTAGAAATTTGGTATCAAGCTGCCAGATATTTACTGACCCAGGTTAGGAAACAATCCGGATACTAAAGATTTACCAACACACGTTCTTAACTTTCACCGGAAACCTCAAAACCCTACTGGACTAAGTTAATTTTATGCGGTATGAAGACAAATTTAATAATACGATATCAAGCAAAATATGTAGGGACTGTCATCATATTGTTGTGCATAATAATCATTGATAGATTGTGTTTGCAAAAATGTATCCGACCGCCTAAATCTTACTTCCCGCGTAATCGCAATAGTTCGAATAGTTGGTAGGAGGCTTGATTCATTTTTTATTACCGAGAATGGCGTTTATCCTCGACAACCCACTGAAACCCACTCGAGTTCTTTAGCCCTCGCGGTGGGTGCAGGCGCGATGCCAGCGTCGTCGTCATGGACACAGTGACAAAACAACGGGCGCGGAACTTTGTAGTAACTTATGCAATAGACGGGGGATAGATAGTAATAATATTAATTTCTAGTATATTATGTTGATTGTTCACCTATTAAAAATATTTAGCGGACACTAAATGAGTCATGTGCCTATCAAGATAGAGCTATAAAATTAATATCCAAACACTACAAGATCATCAAAATTATTGAATTTAAAAAGATTTTATATTTTTTATCTCTATTGATGGAATGAAGACTTAATGAATTTTTTAGGGAGGTGGGTCCAGCGGTTACGGTGAATGATTCTGAAAAAAAAAAACACAAATGACATTTTGCGGTCAAAAATCTTCATTATACATATGCCCATCCAATCGTTCGATATTTTATAGAGATACTTTACTAATGAATACTAATTTTGTTTAATTTTTTTTTTTTTTGAAGGAGGATTTCGTACTAATGATATCTGAAGTTTACTTATATAGTTTAAACAAATTCTCTCGATATTTTTGTCGCTATAGATCAATCTATTTGATTGGGTTTCAAAATTTTAGTTTTATCAAATTTTCAAAAAAAATTAAACATAAATTTTTCCAAAAATGTTGGAAAAAACATGTTTATTGCCCCACTTGTTATGTTTTGATTTTAGTTCATATTATAATATGAACTACATATATATATAAACCTAGTTTTATTTATATGAATTTTAACTATTATATTATTACTAAACCTCGTAGCATCGATAAAAAAATAAATAGTGGAGCTACAATATACAATTGTATTCTTTTTTCACTGAATTATTTATCAGCGTTAGTATGAATTGAATTTATTGTTAAGGTTAGAATCATAAAGTTTTTAAATTTGATGTAAGCTTGAAAATAAAAATTCTTCAAAATTGCACATTTGCCTAGTTAATATTATGTACTTGTTGGTAGTCATATTATTTTCATAAAATTAATATTATTTTTATATTTGTATAACATCAGAAATTTATTCGTGGAATGTAACAAAAATTAATGAATGTTGTGAATACAAAAATAATTGCAACTATTACTTGTATATTTTGAATATTTTTGATAAAATCATAAATGATTATGGAAGAAATAACTTCATAATAATTACATTTGGTGTTGGTTTTATTAACTCGCTGATTTTTTATGATTAATATTAATAATAATTATACACTCAAAAATTAATATTTTATAATTAATAAATGGATTGTTGTCTGAATAAAAAATAAATTTACAACTAAATTATATTAACTATTGCACATATTGAAATTGTTTTTAATATGCACTCAATTTTTAAACACTATAAATTATCATTTGTTACTGTATTAAAATTATATTAAGTGCATTGCGATTTCATTGTATAATTTAGATTTTTTGTGTTCATTATAAAAATCTGATACCTTTTTAATATTATCAAATTACCAGTGATAACGATACGTTACCTCTTGTCTCACATGTGAAAAGGAAATCGTAACACATCTGTTTACACATGCGGAGTACTGTTTTGAATATTTGAAACTGAGGCACCGGAATGTTTAAAACATTTTTATCGTATGCAATCAAATGAATTTTATCAGCCAATTTTACGATCTAATTTCATAAGAAAAATAAATTTATACAATATAAAATATATATAATATTTCGGCGCGATAACGGATATGATTATATAACTTTTTATAATAAACTGCATAATAAAGCGGAAATAATCGAAAATTTATTGGTATAATAAAATTAGTTTAAAAATGATTTAATTAATGGCATATTCAATATTATTTTCAAAATTTAATAATAGGAAAAATTTTTGCATATCTTAATGTTTCAAACCTCTTGGACATTTTGGCATACCTAAAATTGTATGTTTCTGTTAGTGTGTCTCTAAATGATTATTAAAAATCATTATTATGATTCATATACATAGAGAAATATTGATACACAAATGCCAAGTGGACAGGTAAACAGGTAGATGAGTGGACAGGTAGTCAAATAGGTAAATGGAAAGGTAGAGATATAGTCATGAAGATCGGTTGATAGATAGACATGTAAATAGGTAGAAGTTTAGACAAATACATAAATAGACAAGTAGGCAACTTAGGCAGGTAGATCCTTAAACAGATAATCTGTTAGACAGGTAGATCATATACAAATCCAATATTGATTATCTCTATTATTTACACATATCGCAAAGTTTATGCAACTTGCCTTAGGGCAAAATGCCGCATACACCTACTTTGTGTTTACCTAAGGCTAGAGCTTAAATCATTGGCCCCGAGTTTGATGCCTACTGTCTGGTATCAAGCTGTAGTGATATCGGTTTTCACTCTTAAATATAGATAGCAATATGTTTTCAACTGAAAATAGCTCTTTCCTGGTATTGGTGCATTAATAATATACATACTCATCATCACTTTTACAGAAATTGTAATAATAATTGAATTCATCAAATAGGTATAAGACATTTCGATTGTTGTCTATAGTTCTCTTAGGTAATAACCGAGTTTAAGACGTTTAATGTTTTAGTAAATATTATTCACCTGAGAAATACTACTGCAATTTGCAATAAGAATATTGAATTTTATATGCATAAGCATAAATATATATCTTTAATATATCATTATCTGTTACTCCGACATTGAAATTGTTAGAAAACAATAGCTTATCAGTTATTGTTTTCTAGTAAGCAAACATTCGCACAATATACAAAAATAGAAAAAAATCTATGTCAGTCCACGTGAGTTTTCTTTTTCCGACTACGAGCAGTTGGAAGTATAGTTGGAAGTTGGAAGTGCCGACAGATGTCGAAATGCGTCATGTATGTACAAACTATCCATAAATGTCGCGATAACGTCGGGCTACCTGGAAATCCACGCGATATGTGCTGAATCGTAAGAAGAGAGCTGGAAATATTTACCAAAATTCTTTGATATTGATTAAATTCGGCTACTATTATATATATAAACCACACCATTCCAATGCACTAGATATTTAATGCAGTTAAGTCCTGTATTTCATATTATCTTTCTTGCATGTTGTGATTCACATTGATCACAATTACCTAAATTACCTACATGAGACCACTGTACTATTTGTTTTTTGTTTTCAATATTTTCTCGAACAGCAATCAGAACTTAATTGTCCTATAATCTGTCTTACTTTATACTATACCGGTTTTACATATTGCAACCCAAACATATCTTCCATCCTTGTGTTATAAATTTTATTATTACATTTTCTGTTATATGGCGAATAGTTAGTGCTATTTTTC